TGATGTGACTATATATAGTTTACAGCCTCATTTACTTTAATGTGCTACCTGAATAACATAATCATAGCAATAACTATGGTATAGGGTTGTAAGGTGCATGAACCGCTAATGCTTTCTGACGATTTAAATGACTTGTTCATAAAATGTTCTTTTAATAATAGTGGTAAAGCTTTTAGCACTAGATGTCAAAAATGCGAAGAATATTGGCTTTTTCAAGTGTTATTTCTTTTCTAGCTAAAGTGTGTTTTAATAATAAATAGCACCAAAACCCAAGGTTATGTGGCTCTCGCCTGTACGGCAGGATCCAAGCAGAAGACTCTTCCCACGTATGCAAACAGCTTGACCTCGGTCCACGCAGTTATGTAACATCCCTAATGTGTTTACTATTTCTTTGTTTAGTTTAACAAGATGTTTCTTTTATCAGGAAAGGTCAGTATAACCTGCAGAAAAAAATAACATCACAATAGGTGCAATATTAGTCTGTCACTGCTTCATAAAGCTCTCTCCGGCAAAAAGGACTATGCCTTTGTGTTGTAAATTGGGCAGACTTGTACCACTGAAGACCAGCCTTTCCAAAGGGAGGTGCGCTGGGAAGTCAGTCAAAGGCCAGGCAACTGCTGGGGGAAAAAAAAAAAAAAAAGATAAAAAAAAAGAAAGTGTGGTTTTTCTTTTCAGTTAAGCGTCTTCAGGAATATATTTCTTTCTGTATCTCCAGGTTATTTGGCGTTACAGGAAACTGCGCTGCCTGCAGTAAGCTCATACCTGCTTTTGAGATGGTGATGAGAGCAAAGGACAATGTTTATCACCTGGACTGTTTTGCATGTCAACTTTGTAATCAGAGGTAAGAGATTTCTTGGGTCTGTTCCATAAGCTAAAGTGCTAACTCGGCACCAGTGTGGGCATACATTCAAGTGAGGAGGAAACATCTACCAGTAGTGGAAACCCAAGATAGAGGGTAAGACCTGGATACTTTTCCTGGGACTGATACAGAACATCTTTCATGACCTTGACCAGAAAACTTTTTGTGCCTCAAATCCTGCATTGATAAACAAGAATAATGTTACTTCCTCTCCTTCAAAGGGCTGTCCATCAAGTTTAATTAATTGATATTTGGAAAGGACTTTGAGATCTTTTTCTGCAGAAGAGCATAGCCAGTACCATTTGTCATTATTACATTAATTTCCCTTTAATTCTTCAATTTTATCACATGTTTCTTTTAGAGTACATGTTGTTTCTTCCCGTTGCCAGAACTGTAATCATTTAAATTTAAAAGACGCCGTTCCCACCATTTTCTCTGTAGCAGCATTGGACTTCTTACGCCATATTTTTATTTCCATATCCTAACAGTAGGTTGTAAAAATCCCAAGAATCCAAACCTGACACTTTGTTCTGAAGCGTCACCCATATGGTACAGAACGAGTGTCAAAAATGGTAAAATTTTGTAACAACTGAATTTTTCGGAGGCGAATACTTCCAAACTTACAGCAACTATGTTCAGAGGGGTGGCAAAATCCTGTCTGAGTTTTCACCAAGAGCTCTATTTCTGACTCCACGAGAGCTGCTAGCAGCTTTGACTTCTATGAGGTCTAGAAAATGAGATAACCAATTATGTCCACCCCTTAATGTACCTATTATGTTTTTTCAGTCATTACATGACCCTATTTAGGGTTCTATAGCGTTCATATTTTTTTTCGTTTTCAGGTGGGAAGAAACACACGGGATGTACATTTCTAGGGAAGTAACAAAAAATTAGGAAGATAATAGTCTAACATGCCAAAGTTAGACACAGCTCTAAATAAGCTTTGCTAACTCACCTTGTCCTGCAGTGTATTATTTTGTAACACTGTAGTCATTTAAAAATCAAACCTCCCTAAAGAACCATAAAATGTACAGCTGCTAATAAGTGTAGCACACTACAATTACGCTCTTTAAAAAAAGCCAAATTGACCTTTTTCATCATGTTGCATGGGAAATTAAAATACCAGGCAAGTAATAACCACTGCTTAAACTATATAATAATGCAAGGTAATTATAGGTTCTAATGCTATTTAAAGTCCTATATCAATTTTGTCTTGCCACAGAACTAAGAGGCTGCGTTCTGAGTAAGGCAGGCAGAGCCTCCGGTGGCACCCACTTAAGTAAGACACACGCACACTCCTAGGCTTCGTTTCTTAAACCCTTCACATCCCTGTTTTTTTCAAGCCACGATTCTAGTATCATTATTAAAGTGCCTAATATATTTCTGTTGTTCGCTTCATTTATTACATGTCATAATGGGGCTGCATATCTTTAGTGTTGGTTATGCACAATTAGCACTTAGTTATTGTCTTGTCACTTCAGCCCATACAAGACAAACTTCTTTAATGTAAGAAGTCAGCTAATCTTCATCAGTCAAGCAAAGCAGACAATGTTTGTTACCCTGAGTGCAAAAGATTTTCATCATAGTTAGCACTCTTGGATCCGAGGAAGTGAACTTTCTTCTTTTTCCCCCTTAAAAGCGAAGCTGTTGTGATTATTCTTAATATTCCTCTTTTACCATTACAAGAATGAACTAATGTACAAGTTCACTTTGCAGCTAATAGACATCATACTACGCCCTAGGGCCACAGATCCCTCTGGAAAAGTGCTGTTAGGTGCTTCTGAAACAGAGCTTTCCTGGGATATTAAATAATTCTTAGCCTTGTCATTCCTGAGCCTTCAATCTAGTCTCTTACTTGATTTTTACTTTGCATGTAGTTTGGGCAAAAGGTTGCTGAAATAGTCTTACAGGAGTCTTAGGCTGGGAACAAAAGAATTGATTTACCTGAAATACAGTCTAGTTCCTCTAGTCAAAACAGGGAGCAGTTCCAGAAGTTTCAAAGAATTTCAGAAATTCTCAAAAGTGGCCCTAATCCTGGTTATATTGCAATAGCTCTCATGGAGCCTAATAAAACAGCCTGTAGGGTACCTTTTTTGCTCACAATTTGGGGCTAGTGGTGCTCTGAAGAACTAATTTTGTTGTTTTTTATAATAAATCCTATTTCACAGAAGCTCCGACTTAGCTCTAATGTGCTTCTTATGGCAAAGCATCCCACTGACTACATTCTCTCATTAATAAATAGCTTTAAATCTTTTGTTTTTCATTACTTATATAACAATAAAAGATAGAAATGCTAGACACCTGACCCATCACCAGTTTTGGAGGTTTTTATGAAACCTCTCTTTCTTTTCTTTTAAACTGAATAATCTTGTCAGTCACCATGCCATTAATAATTTCTGTTGCCCTTCTCAGGATCCTTTTTTTTTTCCTTTGGTTAAGCTAATCAAAACCGAACAGCAGATTCCAAGTGAGGATAAGTTTATACGGTAGCAGTTTAACTTTCTTTCTTTATTCCATGCTGTCCCTTTGTATATAAAATAATGTTCTTCAGTTTTTTAGGTCGGCTCTTCCCTTTCACTCCAGCCACCATCTGTAATGTGGTATTTATTTATTGAAGAGAATATTTTTATTTACAAAGGCATCAGAGATATGCAGAAATCACCAATGCAGGTAGAGAGGCTCACCAGCTATTGCAAGACATACATGTTTGACCTTATTCCCCACCTTCACATTCTCTTCCCCCTTGAAATTTTAAATCCTTTGGTTCATTCTTTATACTGATACAAGCACAACATAGCTGGAGTGCTACCAGGAAGTATATAATGCTCTCTGTTCAGTTCCATATTTCAAATTTTTAGTTACCATCTACCATTTAGGCTTTTTCCTAGCAAAATATATGTACCAGTCATGAGTAGACTAAAATGTTTCTTCAGTTTGCAATACTTTGCCTTTGCCAACACTGAATTTCTTCTGAAGTTTTGTGCCTGGTTACACCTTCCAATACCTTCTGCTTTCCAGGCTAGCTAATAATTATATTGACTTCGCACCGATCCTTGGGGCAGCCCGTTCTTTGGGCTTGCTACTGCATGGCCCTCATATTCCTGCCCTTTCAACAGTTGATCCTGGCCCAGGCAAGAGGGGCCTGCCTGCTTTTCCCTAGTGCTTTTTGTGAAAGATTCGGTGATTTTTCTGCTTTTATGTACAGCTTCACTGCTTGCTTTGTTATTTTTGAGTATCTGTAACTCCCCATCCAGCTCAAGTCTCAGTGTGAATGCTAGTTAGACCCCCTTGATTTCAGGGGACTTTTGTTCAGGCCATAAACTCCCATCTCTGAACTAACTCATAATGTACCTGTCCCCTTTTATTGGCCTTCTGAAGGCTAGATTTTCGGAGTCAGAAGAAAAACACATTGTCTCACATACTGTATTCTAAGAAGACAGACTGCAGACAGGACTGTAGACACAGACAGGACTGAAAGAGATCTCCTGAGCCACGGAGCGGAGTCCCCTCGTGTCCAAACTGCTCTGTCTCATATTTTCCCTTTCATAAAGCTATTCAGCTCTAGGATCTAATTGCTCCATCCAGCCACTTTTTGACATATTTTCCCCATTTTTTCTTGATACTGATGCTTAAAGCTGTAGGGATTTTGTGAAAATTAAGCTGTGCTCCTAGCCTAAAGGTTTTAGCATTCCCTTATCTTTCATGTCTCTGTCCAGCTTACTCCTAATTTGAAGTTTTTCCATCTCCTAAATACCCGCAGAGCTTAGTGACAGTCATCTTAATGGTGTGAGTGCTCCCCTTTCTTCTCTGTAAACATATTAAACTTCTCCTCTGAAGCACTTCACCTCGCATTGGCAGTAGCCCCAATGTAGTTGATTTCTGCAGAAAATGTAAAGGGGAAAAAAAAAAAATGGAAACCACTGGAAAAATAAACTTGTAAACAGATACCGCCTTTCACACTTTGTCAGGTTGCGTGTGTGTGACTAGCAAAATGGAGTGGAAAATCTTGCGAGTGGGCTCAGCTGCATCTTTGCTTGACACTTTTGACTACAGCGATGATCTCAGTCTGCCTTCGGCTTTCCCACTTCCCGGAGTTTCAGTGTCCTTCCTTTCACTCTCTGTCGGCTGCTTTAGCAGCTTGTTCCATACTTGTGCGGTATTTTCTCTCTGAAGTCAGCTCGGGGTAGGGTTTAAAACCCCCATCTGCTATCACCGAGGGGTGTTTAAATCCACTGTTCTCTCCGAAACAGCCTTTATTTTAATGGGAACTGAGCTGAAAATGGTTACATGCTCATTCAAATCGCTGTCCTGAAGTAGCTGTAAACACTTACCTCCAGTATAAACTGGAAAATGCCCACACAGTGCTGCCTTTGTTCTCTGTCAAGCGGCAGGGGGAGGGAATGCAATGCCAGGGACACCCTTATTTCACACCAACATGAGGTTTTTGCATGAGTGGTCATTTTATCAATTCTGAAGACCCAAATACTGCTTTTTTTCATTGAGTGGCTCTAAATTTAGAATAAAAATTAATATATTTTCCATACCTGCTTTTAAAAAAATAGTAAATGAAAAGCACACCAAGTTGAGATTTGTCGTTGTAAGTTGAACTAGGATTCTGTGTGTATATATATGACATCGGACTGGTAAAAATGCGCAAATCCGGGCACAGCTCCCACTTCCCAGTCTTTGATAATAAACAGACATTTTGACAGAACCCTACAATTAGTAAACCATAGGTGTGGACTGATGAACTGTGATGTAAAAAAGTGGCTTTGCTCTCTTAGTGATGTATAGAGATTTACATTAATTTGAGTTATACTGGAAACTCAAAGGAGCTTTAAAAAAAAAGGGGAAAGGATGAAGTTACACCACTGAGTGCGCAAAGCAGAGTAGAAGGGTGTGGGTGGGGTAAGTCTGAGCTTTCTTTATCCTAGAGGAAATCAATTAAATGCTTCCAGATTTTGTTTTTGTAAAACAACGGAGATCTGACATTACCAGAGGAGGCACTGCACACACAGCCATCTTTGTTCACAGCAATATTTCTCTTGCTTACTTAAGAAGTCTTTGGTACTTTGACACACGTCCTGTACATCAAAAAAAAAAAAAAAAAAAAAAAGACAGCAGAGAGATTTCCTTAAATATCTGTTCTGAACAATGAAAGAGCTATTTCGCAAAATGGAAGTTTTATACTTCTCGTGATTAGTCTAGGCACACCTCCTTCCAAACAAGGTGACAACAGAGGTCATTTTGTAATATAAATGGCTTTCCTTTTGCCATTGTAAAACATGACAGGAGTTCTAGGATGTAGGTTAATTATAATGGTCATTCTACTAATGTCACAGTCGTGTCAAAAGTAGTATTATCAATTTATGGTGGTAAGTCCAATCTGGCATGTTAATGCAGCCTATTGTATATTTTCCCCCATTCTTCTTGCATGCCTATTAAATAAATTGGGTGAGGGTTTTAGGGAAGTCTGAAGACTACCATCTGCCTTCTAGAAGAGTAATAGTCTTGCCTCATTATATACTCCTAACACAGTGGCATCTCAATATGCTCCTTGACTCCATTTGATATATGTGCCCAAATTGTGCCCTGATTTACATCCTATGCCAATTCCATGAAAAAAAACACTTGCCGGAGGTGGAAGGCTAGGCTTGAATTTACCCTTCCATTTTAAAGCTGATGCGGGTTTAAACCCTGGAGTGTGCAAAACCAATCTGAAGTAGTTGCAAGATTTAGCTCTTTGACTTCAGATGAGGCTAAATCTGCTTTTGAGAGTCAAATAAGGTTGAAAGCCTGGATGGACAGAATTTGTCATATTTCAGCCATCTAATTGCCTGGTCCCATTGTACTTAGGAGCTAGCATGCCACCTCTAAATGTTTTTCACCTAGTGCCTACCTCTTGTCACCTAATGAGTGCATAATTCACACATTTAATACCCAGGGGCACATGCAAGCCTCACCGTCAGTCTTTGCCAATGTGTTTTGGTCGCTGAGCTTGCTCAGTACAAAAACAGTTGCAGAATTCGGACCGTAAGTATCGCAGGTAACAGGTTTCCCCCAAGGCACAGAGGGTCACCCCCCAGCGTGCAAGCACAGCCCCAGATGAACCCAGAGGGTGTCTTACCAGGCAGGCAGACAGACCCCCACCCCACAGGTTATCACACAGCCAAGCGTGTCGAGACAGGCCACTGGCAGCCTCTCCGCAAGACAGCTGTACACTTGGAAGGTAAATGATTTGTGGAACTGTGTATGTTTAAAGCCACTCATGCATAAAGCTGTCAAATGCCATGTAGACATAGGTAGAGCATTTCTGGCTCGACATATTAACATAGCAAAAGCAAAAGGCATTGACACTTTTTATTGGGAAAGGCATCCTGACTCCCTCGTGTAGCTGGTGTAGTTTAATTCAAACTGTGGCACTTCTCTGAGGGCTGAGAAAGAAAATCCTCCAGCCAGGATTTTGATGCAAGCGCTATTGCAAGAAGTCATATGTGAAAGTACTGCCATGCATGTGAATTGCACTTCAGCAGCGTGTTTTTCATTTACTAAACATTTTAAACAAATTAGCCTGCAAAGTTATGTAGTACACTGGAACACAAAGGAATACGTAGCTGAATAACATTCCCAGTTCATAGTTAGAGCTTTCTGCTGGGCGAGCAGAGGTGGTTGTGTTTCCCACTGGTGCCTGACCCGTGGGGAGAGCCTCCCTCCTGCACAATAACCCCCCGATGTGCTGGGCTCTGCTACCCAGACGTCTCCCACCCAGTCCCCATCCGTAATCCTTGGGCTAACTGTGGTGGAGGGACTGATTGGCCACAATACCTGACTTCCCCTGCTTTAGTCCGCATTAATCCCTATGTTCCTTGTAGAGAAACTAAGGACTTTTTTTTTTTTTTGAAATCTGACTTCTTTGGGAAAAACACTTTTGCATATTAGCACTATTTAAGACTCCTTTACCTAAACTGGTAAGATGCACGCAGGATTTTTGACAGCACTGTTGTCAATGGACAAAAATACGAAGGCTGGAAATTAGAGAAACTGCCAAAGAACTTGTTTGCTTCAAGAATTCTGCATTTCAACACAGCTACTCAAAATACTTCTCTGTTGTTAGTAGCCTGATATACCAGGACTGGGGTGGGAAGGATAGCAGGAACCTGTAAATTCTATAAGAGTCTTGACCATAAGTAAGTTAAAGATTTCGGGATCATTCCATAATCTCCATTTTCAATCATCATCATCAGCAGGCAGTAATCCTCCAGAAAAAAAAAGTCCACAAATAAACAAACCAATTTTCCTTTAAGAGCAGAGCTAATTCTTTTCAATCCACTTTTTTATTACACTATTTTCCCTCTATCTATTTAGCTAGCATAAGGATAAATTTCCAGAGCTACCCAGTTGGAAAATAAATGGGTTCACTCTTTGTCTAGCATTCCAATCTTCACAAATGTAAATCAGTCCAACTGCTACTCATTTAAACCTCCAACTTCACAAAACATTAAAGGACTGCTTTCAATACACAATTTAATCTGTGACAATTCACCAAGATTTCTGCTTGAACATCATTACAAATTGACTATCTGATAAAGAGAGACCACTATCAGAGGTCGGACGGGTCAACCTGTGTCATTTACGTAGTTTTACCGGGTCAACTGCAGCAGGCACCACTATTTGAAGGTTAAATTGTTACAATTAAACACATATACAGCTATTCCCATAGCTACTCTGTTGTTAAATCTACCGTAAACAACACAAGCATTTATATCTGACCCTAATTGTGTCCAAGATGTCACCATTTGGAAATTATACAAAAAAGGACATTATAATCCGTTACACATTAAACAATACTTTATGTAGTGAGATCCATAATTAGCTGGTAGAAACTGGTTTCATTTATTCACATCAGTGTTAAGGGGTTCATTTAGGTTACTTTCTTTCATTTTAATTGGAATAATGTGAGCAGTGCCTCCCAATATATTTTATAGCTGGAGAGTTCACTATAAACAAAGGCACGTAACCCTGCCAAGGCAGTCACTAGGGAAACTCTTTCTCTATGCATTGGCCCTATTCATTTGCTCCCTAAGTATCTTCAAGAAGATTGGCTTTGTGGGGGGGAAGGGTTGAGGGGGGGTGTCAGTGAAGAGCCTTCTTATATTCAAGCATACTGCTTAGCTGGGAAATCCCACTTTACTCGGAGTTCGAAGCCAGCCAGCCAGAAGCCTTAACGTTACGTGATTTTCCTACTCATCAGAGAAAATCAAATGAAATATCTCAGCAGCGTTTTGTAGCAATCAGATCATTCTGATGCACGTAATAGTGTAACAAGGTAGGTATATGGATACCACGCGCGAGAGAGAGTAGTTAGCTGAGTAACTAAATTTATAATCAACTCCTACAGGGGAAAAACAAAAAAAAAGGTTTTCTCTGCATACCTGCCTGCGTGTCTCCAGTTCGCACCACAATATATGTAAAGTTGTGTGTACGCTAGACAAGATTCTCAGAGCTACCGGTTTAAATAAATTCTAGTAAAATATCAAACTGGAATATAACAAGAAATCCTTACTGGTACGCCTGGCCCAGACAAATGTATCGTATCACAGATGAGCTTTCTACTGGGCATGATCACTTTCTTTTCCTCCTGATTTGCGTGAAAGCAGGACGTTTGCTTTTCACTCAACTCAGTAGCCTGCGATATTTATTCTGTTTTATCCATGCGCTAGTGACCTGATCCAAGACTCCCCACAGTCTTCGGTGGGCTTTGGACGAAGTCTTTGGCTGGGGAAGCGAAAGCGCATGAGCTCACCAGGTTTTGTTGAAAGCACAGGATTAATTCAGAGCGATTCCTCTGCTGGGCTTTCACATACAGGCGTACGTGCCTGCGTGCGCTGCGACAGGCAGCAGAGGTGCGAGCCGTGCGGTCAGCACAACAAAATTGTGATCACTTGTTGTACATTCCTTACGCGTAAGATCACATCACGTCATTCATCCTGAAACTACCTTTTTTTCTTTTTTTTCCTTTGCTGTTGTAATTTCAGATTTTGCGTTGGAGACAAATTTTTCCTGAAGAACAACATGATTCTGTGCCAGACAGACTATGAGGAGGGTTTAATGAAAGAAGGTTATGCACCCCAGGTTCGCTGATCTGATGCCACATCATTAAGAATACAAAGCACTATGTTCTTTTATCTTTTTTGCTCAACGTGTATATAAGAAATGACACAGGAACCTACTGAATAGCATAGATATAGGGAGACAGAATGGTTGCGTGAAATAAAAGGCGGACTGCATCTGTATGTAGTGAAAATTGCTCCAGTTCAGAGTTGAATGTTAATTAAAAAGGTACTGTACATACAGCTGGATTCTTTTTGCTTGCTCTTGGGGTTTTTTGGTTTGTTTGGGTTTTTTGTTTCTTTTTGTGTCATTTGGCATGAGATGTTTATTTTGGACTATTGTATATAAAGTATTGTAATATTTGAAGCACAAATGTAATACAGTTTTATTGTGTTACCATTTGTGTTCCTGTTTGCTTCTTTGTATTGTTGCATTTAGTACAATCAGTGTCTAAACTTACTGTATATTTATGCTTTCTGTATCTACCAGCTATTTTAAATGAGCTGTATCTTTCTAGTAAAAAGCATTAAAGAGCAAATCCCAACAATTATGCTACACTTAGAGCTTAAGAATACTGTTTACATTAAAACTATTTAGAAAACTAGTAACTCTAGCAGCACCTGCTGCTAATGATGCTATGGTTAAGGGTCTATCAGCACTTCTGTTATAAGCCTCTATTTTTCAGGGGTTAAGCATCTGCTGTTTAATTGCATAGATTTTCCTCAAAGAGCACTTTTATTTTACTACAAAATTTTGAAAAACAAATCTGACCGGTTTGGGATATATTGTAAAAGGTGCAAAAGTTAATGATTTTGGGTGCTGCTTTTGTGCCCCTTAGGCATTCAAAATGCCTGGATTTGATTTTTAATTTAGCTGGAAATTAAGCCCTAATGCAAACCAGTGCCTCTGGGTATCTTATTTTATATATATATATAAAAAATATATATATTATTTTTCTGAAATCGCTTAATTTGGGGAAGGGGAGGAAAGGGAGAGGACTTCTGTTTATATACATTTTAAAAAATTCTTAAAATTGGAGGAGTCTCTTTCTCTCTCTCTCTTTCCTTTTTCTTCTTTTTTTTTTTTTAATCAGGGCTTAACCCTAAAGTTTTCTGGGTCTGTGTCCTCAACAAACCCTGGAAAAAAGTGAAAGTAGAAGGCACTGTAAACAGCCCCCTCTGAGGGTCTATTTACATGAAGGAAATGACCCCAAGCTGACACTAGGAGAGTGACTGGTTACTAATTACCCACCTCAGTGAATGCTGAAGGTAATTTAAATGCTGATGTGGATGGGACAAAACTTTGAAATGCCAATACAGAAAGCGAGAGCTACCGCACTGGACTGCACAGGTACTTTGCTGTCTATGCCAGCTTCCTACAGGTTTGTCCCATCAATGCCGGCAATTAAAATCCTTTTGACAGAGGTGGAGTCACTGCTGACAGCTACTGTTGGCAATCAGTCCATTTTCTAGGAGAGGTGGACCTCTGTTTTTAAAGCCATGAAGCTATTGCATCAGCAGGGTGTCCCTAAGTGCTCATGCCCCTGACAGAGCTTACAGGTGTTTGGCAAAGGAAAGCAGGATGAATGTTTAAAAAGTTGTTAAATGCATATTTAATTCTTTTCTCTTTGCCGCTGTAATCTAGCTCACCAGGAAAACAGCCTGCATTTAAAAAAGAAAATATTAAGGAAAAAAAAAAAAAAAAAAAGAAAGACAAGAAACCCACTATACCCTATGTTGCTATGAAGCTGAGTTCTTGTTTTTATTTAGACTAAGAACCCTCATCTCTGCTCAAGTTGAGTGCTGTCCTTCCCTGCTCGTCCTGTCCTGTCCCAACATGTTTTTCCTGGGCATGGGGAAAGCAACTTTGTAATGCAGTGAGGTAATTCCTCTAGAGTATGGTTTGGAGTACGCTGCGCAGTGGCTTGACTTAGAAATGGATATTTAGTTCTAATGACTATTGTTACAGTGTGGTTTTGTTTCTGGCTGTGAACCCGTTTAAAAATAAGCATGGCTCACAAAACTTGACTTCAACAAGGACCAGTAAGAAATGCAATGACTCCTCAGGCTGTTCTTGCTAAATGGAAGAAATAGCTCCACATAGTTTTTAAAATGAAATTTAGCCCTATTTTGTGGACTATCCTCCTTCCTAACCTTGCACACAAGTCTCTCTTCCGCTCCCTTCCACAGTCCCTTAATGTCTTTGGGATGACGAAGCAGTTGATGTCAGAGGTACTATTAGGCTCTTCCAGATCTACTTCAAGCGCAATAAACAAGTTGTCCTTTCCATGAAGGTGAGGATGGCCAGAAAGGGAAGAATCATATCCTCTGATTTTGATTCCAATTTCAATTTTCTCCTCCAGCCTCTGTTGTGTCTTTCATTTAGAAGCCAGAAAGATCTCTCTTCTGCTTTCCACGATAGACTACAGACTGGATAGACGTCCCTGGTTCAGAAATAGGGCTGGGGAACAGGAAAGAAGGGACCTTGGTTCTGTCTTTGACTTGCTGTAAGATTGGGCAAGTCACTCAACTTCTCTGTGCCTCAGCTGCCCCAGTCTGCCGAATGGGGCTAATGCATACACTGCTTTTGTAAAGCATTTTTGGCGCTTCAGACAAACAAGAGCTATGCATGCAAATGTTACTAGTAGCATTAGGACATTCTGGGCGAAGCAGAGCATTCGCATATGCAGTAGGTAACCACAGATCTGAGGTAGGAGAGCACCAAAAACCAACTAAGCCTGTGGAAGGCTTTGTTGGGGATGAAGGCAGCCACACACTACTAGCGCTGTAAATGCTAAAGCGCTCTCTCGTTGCCACAAAGCCTCACTGCTCAGCTCTCTATGGGGTAAACGAAGAGAGCGGAATAGGGAAAAAGTGGCGTATTGTTACATGCCATGTTAGTCATATGTGCATGTGGGTGTTTTGGGAGGTATGCTCAAAATGGGGAAGCGGAGGGTGGTCTTGCAATGGAGAAAAAAATAGTCTTACCATTCTAACCACCTTAATTGATGTAAGGATAAAGAAATGTTGATATGCTTGTTTGAAGTGCTGCAATGGTATGGCATTGCTTTGAGCACTTTAAGCTCAGATATCTTACTCACATATACATCTAGAATTTGTGTGTAGAGGATACAGTGTAAACTTCGATTTGACAGAGGTCAAAGATCGATTACACATATTCTGGTATTTCAAACTTCCATTTAGCCTGGCTGTTAAAACAATAACTGGGAGTTGAAATATTTAATGGGAACATTTACAAGTCCAATAACGTATAATATCATAAGACAATATTGAAGAGAGATTATCTGCCAGGCCGCTTCATTGATCTTCTTGACAGCGGCCTAGACCATTCCTTTGGGTTGCTTTTCGTTATCTACCTTAGGTTTCCTTCTCCATCACTGTGTGTGTCAACGTGCTCTGTCTGCGTACAGCAAAATGTTCTGCTAGTGACCATTGCTCAGCGTGTGCTCCTTTGCCAGGCAGGAATGATTCCACCTGTATCTCCTATCTCTAGGGTATTTTATCTCTATCTGTACAAATCTCTAAGTTTAGCCAGACAAAACTAACAATAATTTCTAAAAAAAATCTATTATTCTTGGGTTGCTGTTTTTTAAGCTACATGGAAAAGTACAAATGATCAAACCTTGATTTTCAACTGCAGAAAGCTCCTCTGCCAACCATAACCTGCTGTGTCTGTTATCTGCCACGACTGGTGATGAATCAAGACAGCCTGGATGCTGCAGAAGCAGTGACCAGGGCTAAAAGTTGATCTGTTTCATAATTGTATTTTTATCTTGCTTAACATATTTTCTGGGTTGTTCTTTTGAAGCACACCTTCTTGCCTCTTCCTACCCTCCCCAAATGCTCAAATTTATGCTCATGTAATATAAATAAAGAAAAATCATCCAGCAACCCCTCACATGTTCCTAATTGCCTACATATAAAATGACTTGAGGAAAATAGATTGAGAAGTGGTCAGTGAGAAGGGAGACTGTGGGGAAAAGAAACAAACAAACAGGGACTGTGGCAAGGTTTCGCCTGTACAGACAAAGTACTTTAAAGGCTTTTTTCAACGTAATATACAGCAGCTTCTTATAATTTTCTCAGCGGTAGGTAGTTTACAGTCATCTGTACCTAGAACAAATCTTGTCAAAAATGAAGGTCTGTAGTGATTGCTGGGTATAATTTTATACATTTAGCTGATTCTTCTGAAAGCTTCCACTGTGCTGCTGTTGTCAGACTAAATTATCAATTTAGCCATTTGTTGTTTAATGAATAAAAAACTCCTATGGCATTGGAGATGTTGTGGTTTCAATAAAGCAAAAGCTTTAACAACTCAAACTACAGAAAGCAAAGTGTGTACTGTATATAAGAACAGTGTTTTTATTCTTTTAAATACCACTTTAGATAAAAAAAGCCAATTACGTATTCACTTAATACATTTCTCCTACTTCAGTCCAATGATGCAGACCAAACCTGTTTACTGTTCACTTCAGTACCTTGCAAAAGGAAACCAAAATACAATATGTGCAAGGTAATAGGCCATTAGCACAAACATGCTCCCAGTAAAAATCTTTTGTGTAGGCACCCTTTCTAGAAGCTGCCAATTGTGGGTGATAGAAGTATTATAAAGGAAGTGATTTTAATACTATTTAAGGCATTAAAAGCTGCAGAGAATCTGTTTAAAGCCTTAAAGTAAGGGTTGCATGTATCTAATACCTTTTAAAATGCCCTTCTGCTGATTTATATTCATCCTGAACCCGCTAATAATGAGTATACATAAGCAAATACCATCTTCCACCTATTCAGCATGTCATTGGTATGAAAGCCCCAGAAAATATCTCACGTAATCAGTGTGTTCAGAGAGTTATCTAGCACAAATTACTCATTAACTCAATAGCACATAATAAAAAAGAACATCAATTAATTAATGAGTCACCCTCAGATCACTTTGATTACAACACAGCTCTGTTGAAACAGCAGTTATAAATGGAGCTGCCTCTCTTTATTCATTGTTTGCAATTGGCCCAT